CCCCAAACACCCAAGAGATGGTTTTCTATTAATGCGAGTCCCTCAATTTTATTTCTGGGGGGAGCCCCCCGCACTAATCAGAACCTCGGACTATGTGTGTATGTATATATAGATATATAATTTTCAATCTTTCTGCCTCTCTCTGTCGGATCTGTTGAGGATACCTTGCAGGGGTCCTAGCAGACGGCATAGCTCAAGATTTCATCGCACCACGCCCTAAGCGCTCCAGATTACGGTCCAATACGGAAGCCCTTAATCCATGAACCGATTCTTTTGGGCCGGGGTTCAGGACATCAAGAACTGCAGCAGACCAGCTCTGCAACTGTTTTCCAACCCTTAAGCTGCAAGCACATGGGTAGTTCTCTAAATTAGGGCCAAGGCCCCTTTCAGGGTCCCTTGTATAAGGGTGCTGTACTATATTGGGGACCTAACAAAGGACCCTAATTGAGAGAACTCCCCACATGTAATCTTGAAGCCCACAGGTACGGTTGATGATATGAATCCTGCATTACCATAACAAGGAATATACCATAATTCCCATAGTTTAGGGTCCTTAAGGTAATGCAGGATTTATATCATCAACCGCATCATGAAGAAAGCCAAAATCAAACAAAGCACAAAGCTCTTAACCAAAGAACCGTTTACCCAATAGCCCACCAATGCCACACGAGCCTCAGAAAGCCAAAGTCAGCCATTGACGGATGGCTGGGCTTCTGTGGTCGATTCAAGGCTTGCGGTTCGCTTTGTTGCGGCGTGGGCTGGGGGGCTGCTAGGTTGGCCTCTCTGGTCGTCAGCTTAACCCTAAACCCTAAACCCTAAGTTTGGCTGGGAGTCTTGCTAAGGCCTGGCGGCTTGATGTAAGTCACTGCTAGGTGGATATGTTTGGGCTTAAGGGCTTCAGGTTTTCAGGGGTGAAGGGTGCGGGCTGGTGGATTGTACGGGCTAGGACTGAAACCCCCAAAATGCAATGTGCTTGCACTTCTTGAGATCGGCTTGCAGCGAGGGCGCCGAGCGTGCAGCCAGGATCTTCATCGCATGTGCCCAGACAGCTAAATGCCCTTACCCTTAACATCAAAATCGCCCAAAGGCTTTATTCAATAGGGTCTTTGCGCCCAGAAGCCTCAAAATATGAGTCCTTAGAGGGTAAGGGTTAAGCAGCGGTCTTCGTTATTAGTAGACGGGCTTCGGAGACTATTTTGGTACAAATATTACTGAGGACCGTAAGGGTAGGGATTACCAGTTATTCCGAGGCCTGCATTACGTAAAGATACAGATATTGCTTAGATCAGATCGGTTTCTTATCTTTTTGAACACGTTCCTTTCCTGGCCTGGAGAGAGTAAAAGATTCAGTCTTGGCAACACGACATGATGGCAGAAGGAATACTGGTCACCTGCTCAGCGACCAGTTAATGATTTCACGAAATACTCATCACTTGAGGGGTGCGTGGCTCACACTCTACTCTTGCGACTGCAACGAAGCCAAGATTGCAAACCTTAGACCTGCAAAATGATTCTACGGCCGAATTCCTACAGCTTGATATCAACGCGGGCCGCGTGTGCCACATGTTTTGTTGCGACGGGTTTGGAGTATTTGCCACTTCAAACAGAGGCCATACGCATGGTTCAGCATGCTCAACACAGTAGCTCCCTGCTTCAACTGGCCCTTATATCAGGCACCCCTACTGTAGCCTGTAAACAGAAATGTCTGTCTGTGACTGTAGCTGCCATGCTACACTGCTGCCACGCGTACTCTTCACGGCTCGGCTCAGTTTGTAAGGCTCCTCAAGGGTGCCGGTAGGGTTCTTTAGGGGCAGTGCCATGCAGTGCCAAATCATTCTTGTAAAATTGGACTCTGAGGCGTCTCGAAGGAGTTATGACTGTTAGTACACTTTCGTTCGAAAGATTCCCTTGCAAGTTTCTACCTGTTGTAGTGGCTGAAGCCCTCAACCAAAAAGCCACAGTTACGGCGAGGGCCTAAACCCTAAACCCTAAACCCTGAACCCTAATCCCTAAACCCTAAACCCTAAGCCCTAAACCCTAAACCCTCAACCCTCAACCCTAAACCCTGAAAAAAAAAACCTCGAAGATTCAGACCTCAAACTGCAAGTCCTCGTAGGCCCACACAGGCACACCTTGGACCGTGTCGTCTGTGACACCCTGAGCAGGGAAGGGAGTTGGGTTTAGGGTTTAGGGTTTAGGGTTTAGGGTTTAGAGTTGGGTTGGCAGCATCTCGGTGTTCTTACAGAATATTAATCAACATCCCCAAAGGCTCCATGTACCTTGATAGTAGATATTTAAGCCTTAAAGGGGTCCCTATATAGGTACCTTAAGGCCTAAGTCTATACTAGATGGGCACTTGTAGCCTTAGGGATCGTCGTAGCAACGTACTCGTGCACCCGAATGAACTGTCGCCGGGCCTCAAGGGCTGAAAAAGCGTCCACCTTGCTAGATGGATGAACCATGGGTTAATCGTCGTTGGGTTCAAAGAACGTCCACCATTTGATGCCATCAGCCGCGAGCAGATTTTCGTGATACTTGCGCACATGCCGGTGCACAACGCCGTCGATACCGGTCCACCTCGTAGCCCTCACCGGTGCTACTGGCAACTACTAGCTATGCTAAACCCTACCACACAGCTTACAGCCCTGACAGTCATCGCTCCCATCCTCCTTCCCCAGCACTCATCACAAACGAACATAGGGCAACTATGAGGCATTAGGGGGTTAGGGTTTATAAGACCTTCATATGAGTTTCAGAGATTCTATGAGCTTTCATTTCTTCACATCCACAACAAAAGCCGTAACGCAAGCATACAAACACACTCGCACTCACAAAAGCAAACAAACCATCAAAGCTGGAGCCCTGCTGCTCAAGCCGTGCTGTATGATGGGTAGTTCTCTAAATCAGGGTCCCTGTTGAGCTCCTTTTTATAAGGGTGCTGTACTACATTGGGGACCTAAAAGGGGACCCTAAGTTAGAGAACTACCCTGATACTGTTCGGCGCGTGGGATCTTGGGAATTCAAGATTTTTGGGGCGCAGGTTTTCGGTCTAGGGTTCGAGTTAAGGTTCTGCTTTTGAAAGGTTTAGAGTTCTAGGCTTAGAGCGGTTTAGGGTGTAGGGGTTCTAGGTCTAGGACTTGGTATTTCGGGTAAACACTCAACCCGAAGTGAATCCTCTAAACCCAAAACATGTGTGGGGCTTCGGCTTTAGGGGTTTAGGGTTTTAGGGTTTAGGGCTTGAACCCACTCCATCTAAAACCCAATCACCAAACCCCCCAAGGCCCTACACCCTAAACCCTAAAGCACTATAGTATAAACAAGGTGTGGGAACAGGATGTCTCTTTGGTTTCAGAGCTTATGGAAATTCTTATTCTAGCTCCGTGGCCGTTATTCTGACAGGTTCTGAGTAGGGTATGAGGGAGTGGATTATTGGGACTACTATAAGAAACCTGAAGGGGCTATCATACAGTGGATGATATAAATCCTGCATTACCCCACATAAGGCATAAGGAATTTCCCATAATTCCCATGGTCTAGGGTCCTTGAGGTAATGCAGGATATATGTCATCAGCAGTAGGGATTCATCCCCCCCCCCATTCCCTACTAAGACCCAGGGAGTGGTTTCAGCAAACTCGACTCACGGACCCGGCCTTCTGTCGCATGGCCAGTTTTGACCTAGGTTGCGGGCTTAGGGTTCAAGGTGAAGGATGTGGGGTTTGCGAAGGGTTTAGGGTCTAGGGGGAATGTTGTAGGGTGTTGTGTTCTACGCCTCTGAGGTTTTTTTTCTTGGCGGACATGCTAGTGCAGACTGCGCGCGCTCAATTCCGGGCAACATCGGCCAAAGGAAAAGGCCGGACTAAAGTATGGGAGAAAGTGGGGGCCTCAAAGCGGCCCATCTATACAGCAAAAGACATCATGATGCAGCATCGTCGTCAAATCGGTCGGAGCGATGCCCACCATGGCTGCGGGCCTTGCCGCGGCATGCATGGTTTCCACGCTGGGGTGGCTGAGGCTTTGTACGGCTCTGGGTCTAGGTCAGCTTCCCTATACACGGCTAGACAAACCTTGCTCCGTGCAAGATGACTAGCCAAACGCTGAGTGGACCAGAACTCCAGGCCACATACCTCACATGCTGTGCCTTGGGCTACCGCCCTACCTTTGCCCGCAATGCCGTGGCATTTGGCGAGGTGCACGGAGAGGCGGCGATGTGTGGCATATGCCATATTGCAGAGATGGCAGGTGTGCGCTAGTCCAGGGCCACAGCTGGACAGCACGGCCAGGGCCTCGCCCTGCTGCTGGCGAAGGCGAACATCGTCCCAGTTGACCTTGGGTCGCGACGCCCTACACTGCTTTAAGTATTTCTTGCACGCAGCTTTAACAGCAGACGCCTGATCCTGCAGCCGCACAGACAGCAGTGACAAGTCGGCATCTTCGGCGTCTGCCACCAGAGCAGCGACTGGAGTCCCTGCGCAGACCCGCCTGAGGGCCGTCAGTGCAAGCCCGAGCCAACATCCGTCCGCCTGAAAGCCAGCCCAGCTTGGCCTCATGTCTGCCCTGAGAACCTGGAAAAGGGCCCTGACACGGTGCACATCCAACAGTTCTTCAGGTGAAGGTACGTCAAGGGCTGCTAGCACTTCAGCCTGTGTCATTTTGGCAGAGCTACTGCCAGTGATAGGGCGGATGCACTGGCGAAAAGCCGAGTAGAGTGGCCCGACAGCCACCTCATGCTCGTGTTTCGTTGAAAGACGCCACAATCCGGAGCCATGCAGGAAGCACGGGATTACCCTCCCCAGCAGCAGCTCCCGCTTTTCTGTAGGAAGAAGAAAAGGGTTATTGAGCAGGCGGTTGCGGATGGGCTTAAAAGTGGACGCAAGCAAGCCGGCACGTCGCTTCAGGTTGGCCATCTCAGACAACTCCGCATTGAGGAAAGTCCCCAAATGTGTGTAGCCTGGCACCAGGCGGAGTTTTGGAAACTCCTCAGTCTCTGTGGTCAGACTGAGGGCCGGACAGTCAGCGCCGAGGAGTCTGCGCCGAACATCCCGGGAACCGTGTCCCCGCAGTGCCACTACCGCTTCTGTTTTGCCCGGACCCAAATTGGCGGACAGCCCAAGACGACGGAGGTGCTTGATGACCTGGCGGCCTATTTCACCCAAAAGACCTTCGACCTCCGATACAGAGCGGGCTGTGAATAAAATCACAACGTCGTCCGCCCATGCTGGCGCCTCCGCAGCCTCGGCCTGTTGCACCTGAATATGTGGAGACGCAAGATGTCCCCGTAGAAACTCCTCCATACCGTGCAGAAAGCGACTGAAGAGGAAAGCAAACAGAGCGTCTGCCACCGGTGATCCGGGGGCGGTCCCGGTTTGTGTGAGGTAAAGTGTAGTGCCTGGGCGTCCATCAACATACCAAGTCCGATGGAATTGCGCAAGGACAATACGGTGCAGGGCCGATGGCAATTGCAGCGACTCAAGCCAAAGGCCGTCTCGCATGTCTTTGAGGAAGGCCGCTTGCGATTGCGTATCCGCAAAAAAGAGCTTTGCACGTTGTTGTAGCTCATCATCGGTCCAGTTGTGGTAAGGACCCGCCAGGTAGAAATCGCGCACCACCGAATAGTAGGCTGCCGCACAATCTACAAAGAGTGCGCCACCAGACTGATTGGCCGCCGAAAGCCCGTGAAAGTGCGCTCTCACCAATGCCGAGGGCTGCTCCAGCGTGTGGCGAGGAATGCCGCCATGCTGACCAACGGAGCGCACTGGATCCAAGGCCTGAAGGAGATAGGGTCTCCAGGCCTTCTGGAAGGCTTTTGCGTCCGACTCTAACAATAGAATCGCCCTCCATCCCTGCACACTGGAAGGATCTTTCGTTCCTTTGGGTATGGAGTGTGCAAGCCCCCCACTCCACTGTAGAGGCCCTATGCCCCGGGCGATCAGCTTGAGAATGACCGGGGCGTATGCCAGTGCCGCTGCAATCGGGTTTGCCGCAAACACTTCTGCAGGGATCTGGGAAAGACCAGGCGCACGCCCTTTCTTCAAGTCGAGAAATCCACGGAGGAGATCGACAACCGAGGGCGATGCAGCAACATCCAGGCAGTCACTAAGAGAACGCACATCGTTGCTTGAGCTCACAAAGTCACCTGGAGTGACTGGAGTGGCCCTTTCGGCCGCGGCATAAGAGGCACCAAGAGTCTTAGTGATTGCCTCGGCTCCAATGTGCTCGGTGCCCTCGTGGCGCAAAACAGGGAGGAGGGCAGGCGGCTTGAATTTACGACCCTGTCGCGTGATAGCGCGGAGCAGATAGGCGAATCGAGCTGGGCCAGCGCCTCTGGCGGCAGTGATCTGCTCCCGGCTGAAATTTGCTTTGTCCTGCTGCATCGCAATTCTAACCTGTTTGCTTGCCCCCGCATGTTGCGCGCAGAGTTCGAGCAGCCGATCGGATGTCCGCCTTGCTTGCCTGCACGCGTCAGCGTTGGCGTGGCCCATGCGCCAGGCCTGAAAGAGAGCCTGAAGTCTTGCACCCCGAGCAAGTCTTGAAGCACAACGCAGAACCTGCCTAAGATGCCGGTGCTGTTTGACAAGGTCCAAGGTCGCCGCAGTCACTGCTGGGTGCCGAGCAGGAGTAGGCACGTGTGGCAGCCGTCGAACCAGAGTGTCGCGGACATGCTGGTGCAGTAAATGCACGTGCGTTGTGACGTCGGTGTCCCATGCCACGCTATAGGCATAGTAGCAATGGCTTCCGCGGCCACCTGGCGACCAATATCGGTATCCAGGGCCTTGCGCGAGAAAGCAGCCTGTTTAGCCGGGAAGTCACCTGCTGTGGAAGCACATATGGTCACCGCCAGAGGCCAGTGGTCGAAGCCCTGGTGCTGATCGCACAAGTCCGGTGTGTCTTCAGTACAGACGGTCTCAGCCCACGCCGCCGAGACAAGGAGGTAGTCAATTGCACCGTCGTTCCCAGCAGGACTCGTCCACGTTCTGATGCTTTGGCCTGTGACGCTGGTAGGTGCATTGGATGCAAGATCAAACTCCTTCACCACAGCGACCAGCTCCGGAGCATTACTGCATATCGGGGGTGAAAAAACAGCACTGTTGCGCTCGCCAGGTGCGTGGCGGAAGCGTGCGTTTGCATCAAGGCCGAGAACCAGGATGTGTCCCCGCGGAATGCGTCGGAGTTGGGAAGAAAGCAATGCCCACCACTCCTGCCGCCGTGCCTCAGGAGCTGTTGCAAAAGGAGCATGTCCCGAGACCAAACAGAAGTTGAAGGGACCGGCTGCTGCAGTAACCACAAGGAGTTGTGCGCTGGCGTGCACCATAGTGAAAGACCGGCGGTCCCAACACCAATGACGCTCGGCACCAACCACTACACCCGCCTTTTTGTGGAGCCAGATCTGACAGCCACCAACGCCGGAGGGCAAGCAAGGTGAACTCAGTGTCCAGAAAATATCGTTGGCACCTACACCAGTCTGCCCGAGGCGTGTCTCCTGGAACATGGTGACCTGAATCTTGCAGGTCTGCAGGCCAGAAACCATCAGGGCTTGCGCGGGTGCGCCACGAAGGGACAAGCAGTTGTACTGAACAACACGAAAAGACACCTTAGCCGGCTGTGTGGTAGAGGTGGGAGCGGGCTGGAAGAGGCTAGGGCTGGCCACAGTGCTAGGAGCCGTCTCGCAGGCAGCCTTGCTCCATGCCCCAGTCTCAGACAAAATGGGCAGCTGCCTCGATGAGGTATAACTGGGTGCCAGAAGCCAAACCCAATCACAAACTCTTTCAGCAACCCCTGTCCAGAAAACCTCCCCTACAAATGGAGCAGGAGCAACAAATCGTGCCGCCCCTTTAGCCAGAGCATCGGCCAGGCCACTGAATTGCGCAACCAATATGTGAGCGCACGTGTAGTGGGGCAACAGCCTGTCCAAAAGCAGTGGAGGCTCGTGCTAGCCCAGCTAGAGCCCGCGCAGTGTCATCTGCGTGCCCAAAACTCGCCTGTCCAAAAGCGACCTGCAAAGCAGAGAGGCAGTCGCTTGCGACAACAGTAGGCGCCGGCCGTGCCGTGAGGGCGATGGCCCGGGCATGCGCAAGGGCACGCGTGTAGGCGGAGGTCCCGGAACAGGTGCCATGACAAAACCCAATGCGGACAACCTGATTCTCGCTCAGCCCTAGTATGACGACAGCCCATCCGGCAACGACTGAGCCAGGAAAGAAGGAGCCGTCCGTAAAGAGGTAAAGAGCTTGGATACGCGAAGAGCGATCCCACGCAGGTAGGCGACCCCATCCCTCAGCAGAGCACAATTCCAAGTCAGGAAGGGGCGGTAATTGCTGAGGCAGATGCAACAGGTCATGCTCATGCAATAGGAAGTCCAACATATCAGGAGTCAGGCCAAATCCAAGGCCAGTTTCAGGCACAGGCAGCAAGTCATCCAACTTGATGTGGGCCGGCTTTCCTGAAAGTGGCACATGGCTTTGCAAGGCACCTGAGCACAAAACAGCCGAATCTCCTTGTCCTGCGGGAGTCTCCTCAGGAGCAACCGGGAGGCTGCGTCGTCCCAGGGGCGTAGGAATTCCCCGCCGACGCTTAGTGGCGTGAACTTGCAGGAGAGAGTGATCCGCCTCATCCTGAGCAGGCGGGTCAAACGGATTTGCTGCAACCTCTTGCAGTAACGCGGCAATGCGCGCCCTGTCCTGGTCGGACATGGCCTCTGGGCTCCAGCATCCCGTATTGACGCGAAAGGCATCCATATCGAGTCTTAGCCGCCCAAATGCCTCCCTGGGTGGCCGCGGGATAGGTGCACCTGACACGATGTTGGAAATGAAGGGCACCGCACAATTGGCCAGGCCCAAAACCTCAACAACGTCACCTGTTCGCCATGGGCGGCCTGGGTGTCGAAGAACACAGTTGGGTGGAAATGGAACCTTGCCAAACGTCTGTGCTTGGGTAGAAACCGTCAGCACGAGGTAAAAGTTCTGCTGGCCATACGAGGGGAGGAGGACAGTTTGAAGGCAGCTGTGCGCACTGCTGGTTGCAAAGACGGCCCGGCACGGTTCGATCGCACGAGTAACTGCGATCGTCAGGCCCTGTGCCGGATGAGGCGAGAGCCGTGCGAGGCCCGCTTGTGCATCTTGAAGATCTGGCACCACGGCATCAAAAGTCCTAAACCTGAGTGGTCCGTGGTCTGGCCAAGCACCTCAACTAGCCCCTCGTTGTGTCGCCATGCGCCCTGCCGTCTGCGGCGCAGGCGCGCATTATTGGGAACTTCCATCTGAAACGGGCGATCACCAGCGACCAATGGCCACGCAAACGGGTCTAGAATAGGCAAAGCAGCCAGGATGGCAGAAGCTGTCGTAGAAACCGGGCGGTCAAGGTCCGCGGAGAAACGAAAATAATCTCCTTGACTGGCTGGACGCTGTGCAAGATGAACAGGAACCGAGTTGGCAAACAAATGGACACCTTGCGACCTCCAGGGTTCGGGCACCTCGACCTCACAACGAGTGAAAGGAGCCAAAGTCATCGCCTGTGGAGGAAAACCGCACTCACTTTGGTCAACCACGACAGTAGCGTGCTCATTGTCAAAATCCCCGCACACAAGAAAGACAATATCCTGTACGCCTTGATGTGGCAAAGGACGGGCACGGGCCATCATAAAATGTATGTCGCCCCTTGGTGGCACACTGCGAGAGAAGACGTCCATAAGCAGGCTTTCCAGAACAGCGTCGGCCTGAAGGCATGGTGCTTGAACCTCAACCTGCGCCTGGACGGTACCGTGCAAAACAACAAAGCGGAATCTGCGGCCATCACCTTGGATCTGCGTAGTAGTTGAAGTGGAGGTGGGTCCATTCGGATCCCAGGCAGGCCACCCAGTTGGAATTCCCGTGGCCTCCGCGAACCAGTCGCGGGCACTGCGTTCAACAGTAATGAATTGCACTTCTTCGAGGTCGTCCGGCATGTAGCTGTCGAGGATGCCAGTGGCGTCAATTGCCACTAGGCGCCGTGCCAGCAGCGAAGCAAGAAGGTCAGGCAATTCAGGGCAAACAGCCTGGACCGCAGCCGCCGATTCAGAGAATGTTTCCGACGGATAGTGGAGAACGGTGCGTACCCTGCCTCCGACACTCCTGAAATCCCATGGCAAAGGACTGGAACGAGGATCATCTTCCCTTCGGTGCAGGACAAGCTGAGGCCTGGGAAAGCCTGGCAGGTTGTATGTCAACACCTGGACTGCGCGCACGACGAAGGGTGCCTCAGACACAGCCGCAGTAACAATGTCCTGTAGCGTGGCACTGGCTGCGCGAGGGCGCACAAGAGCATGGCGGAGGACATCAAAGGTCACAAACGCATCGTTAGATGTGCCGACTATTCCACCCCAAGAAAAATCGACAGCAGCCCGGTCTCTGCGCACAGCGGTGGGTAGGTACGTGGGCAGCATGGCAGGCAGCCCCCCGTCAGAAGTTTGCCCGCGCTTGGGATCGAGTGCACGAAAGTGATGCCACAGCAGCGCTGGTGGCTGGCTCACCCCGGGAACCTCTGGAGGGGTTTGGATGGGCAGGGCGCGGGCGGCATCGGCGGCGGCTTGCTTGGCAGACACCTGTAAGCCACTGAAGTTATCCTTCATGATGGGCTGAGCTTGGGCGGTGCAGACAACAGGTCGCACACGCCCATGGCTAGCAGGAGGATGGGGCACCTTGAAGGAGGCAGCACTGGAAGCGGTGCTGGAAACAGTCCGCACACGCTGGTACGCCTGCAACAGTGCAGTCTGATCATCGGGCACGGCATCCTGATCGGGCGGGAGATCGGCTGCAAAAGGTAGCTGCGGCTCCGCTGGAGCAGGCCGTTCTGCCTCTGCTCCACGAATGTGGTCGGGTCCAAGAGCGAGCAGAGGCATGCCCTGCAAAGGTGTGTCATCAGGCAACCTGAGCGTGAAGTCCCGCGTGGGCCTCCTTATTTCTGGGCAGTCCTGCATAATCATCTCGCCGATCCTATCAACAGAAAAACCCGGAAAGAGATTCAAAGTGCACACGCGCCCCCCGACCGACCTCATGTCGAGGGGTGTTGCATGTCCGGGGATTGGGCAATCACGCGTCGTGGCAACCACTTGGAGTGGAGGGAATCCTTCGAGGCGGTCCATCAGGATGCGTATGTTCCTGAGGCGTGGTACTATCCCCAGTACCTCGGCCACAACATCGTCAATAGTGGCGCCTCTCCGGAGGGACCGAACCTGTGAATGGTATTCGGTCGTAAAAATTGCAAAGCGGTCGTGCTGCGAGGTGCTGGAAACACCTCCTGTCGCCCTAAACCCGGAGTACCAGCCGAAACTAGTGACACACATTCCTCTAAGTTCGGGCCGATCGAGCTCCTCGGGCAAGATGGGAACCTGGGCTGAAAGCCTGAGCCGGATCGC